GGTCAAGAACTACAGGAAACGTCTGACCTCTGTAACTGTAAACAAAGGTTTCAGTACCAAATATTAAGTTTTTCTATTGTATCAAATACTTATTTAAAAATCTAACTGATTTTCTGGAATTTTTTTGTAGATTCTCTCACAGTTGAGGTGTACCTACGATGAAAATTACAGATCTGTCCATTCTTTGTAAGTGGAAAACTTGAAAAATCGGCAGTGTATCAAATACTTATTTGCCCCACTGTACGTAACTATATCTAGTGTTATCTAACTATGGATAACTATTATGTGACTTGCTATCTATTTATCTATCTACAGTGATTCTCCATTAAACACACAATCTGCTACCACACTGCTAATTCTCAAAGCAACTAACACCACAACAGCAACAAACCATCCTGCTCTGCAAAGACAGATTCAAATGAACACCACTAAATAGGGATATCCTGTCCCTGAACACACTCTATCCCGCAAAGTGATTCACATGACAAACTGAACCAATCAGTTGATTGGTATGACGCCCGAGGCTCTCAACTGCTTCGGACGTCACTCAAGTGATTCAAACATCACTAGTCACGTGACCAACACATGCCTCAGCACAGTGGTTCGATACAATTACTTTATGAGCTGCCTACCGCGCATGTGTCAGAGCCTCGGGTGTCAGAGGACCATCATTAAGTGTGGTCTTTGTGCCTCAGACACACTGTGTCACACAAATTTCATCACAATAACAAAAACGTTTCTGCTCTTATACTTGTTCTTAACTTTCAAAGTCCTCACATTTGGATCAGACATTTTCATTCTTTTGTTGAAAACAAATCAAAATTAAAACCAAGGATTTCTAGCATTTCTGCAGAGCACAGATACACTGTGCATTGCATAGCCTGCCCACATTGATGTGGATCTGCATGTATCTGTTAACATGTTATATACGCTCCCGTTTGAGCCTGTAGTTGTGTGTAGTAGTGTGTCGTTGTGTGTGCTGACAGTATGTTATTGTGTGGCCACAGTGGAAGGTGCTGTTCAAAGAGGAACAGTCCAAGTATTATGAGGAAGATGAGATGGAGAATCTGCTCCACATAATGAACCACCCCAAATGGTCCTCCAGGGACAGTTATGTACACTCTGCTCACACACCGTTCATATGTTTATTCCCTTCATTGGGTGATAAAACACGCTCAGTGAAAAAATCTTGATTATATCAGGTGGAAAGTCTGACGTGTTTGTTTTGTATTTTGTATAGGACAAAAGCAGAAAGAGAGTGAGGAGGAGGGCTCCCACCAAGCCTAAAGGTAAGAGAACAGCATGTGAAGTGTCATGACAATGCATATCTGACTTTTAACATGAATGTAGTGGCCATATTTTTTGTATGAAACATTGTGACTTACCTACCTACTAAGCCAGGTGGTTCATTTGACTCTGGAGACATTTGACCAATGTTTTATCAGTTGAAACTTAAATAATAGTATTTAGTGTAACTGTTATTGATAAGCTGATTTTAGTGAGGAACGTTTGAAACACATTTATAAAGCAGTCAGTGGTGTCTGAAATGTCAGTCTTGAATGAACTGTCACATGTTTCACTCGCTTTTCAAGCACATTTTCAGATAGTATTCTGGTTTAATTTTAATCTGTTTAGCCTTTATAAGTGCACAAGGGAATCAAACACTGTGCCCACGTTTTTATGTGTGTACAGTCTGTACATCCTCAGCATGGACGACATGAAGGGTGACTTATGTTCCCACACATGGTGATTAGCTTGACTTAGCTCAGTTAATAGACTGGGATCCCCAGTGCAGTTCCCCTCAAAGGCAGAGACTTGCTGTATACCATCCAAAAGAGACTGTTTGTTTAATGCAGGTGGTCTTGTGTTAACCTTTTCTTGTAGGACTGTTTAATGCTGGTGGTCTTGTGTTAACCTTTTCTTGTACATACACACTCCCAAAAATTGTACCACAGCTGACCCTTACTCCCCTATGTGCACAGCCAAAATGCGTACAGCTCTCCTGTCAGTCTGTTTTGTAATCTGATACCAGTTCCCACCAAATGCTTTTTTTATGTCATTTTGGTTCCTTCCCCCCATTTTTTGTTTCATAGAAACCTCTCTGGCATTACAAAACCCTTCACTAATGTACCAAATAAAAAAGATTCACTAAGGCATTTGAAAAAATTCAGATTTGTTAAAGCCTCGTCTCTAAAGCAGAGGTTAAGTGGCTTATTTGCCAAATTGCTGTGAATCCATTGCTTCTCACAGTGCGATTAGAGCGTCAGTCCAAAAGTATCTGCACTGCTACTTGCTTTTTAAACTGACACAGGATTTTTTTTAACACTGTGTTAAACTGTTGCTGTATGCTGTAAGTCTATGTACAGCATGTATCTATGTTATGTGTGCTCCATGTCGTTGCTTACCTTTCTACACAGTGACAGCCGGCCTGCAGCACCCAGACGTACATGTGCACCCTGGACTGTGGCATCAGCTGGTCACCCATCAGGTAGGTTTTATGTGAGGAGGCGATGAAGTAGTTGCACAGTGGCGGGTTCACCCGCTGCAGCAGCGCATGCCTGACCCGAGGGGCACACACCCTCGGGGGGTGGGCCGTGAGACGCGTCACAACTCACCCGCTGCAGCGGCGCATGCCTGAACCGAGGGGGGTAGGCCGTGAGGCGCCTCATTCTGACCCTCTCGTGTATGTCAATGCATAAGTGTTGCCCCCCTCCCAAACTTATGTTGACCTTTTCACAATTAAAACTGTACATTTTTTAAAATCTATACTTTGATACTTAGCCTCATGTTTTTTCACTGAAACTTAGAAAATCATTATTGAAATCGTTACATGAAACCCAGGACAAGGCAAAAGAATAATGACAAAGCAGAGGTTTTGGCCTGTTTCATCATCAACTTTTATTTTTATACAAAATACAAAATTATGAAGAAGTGTCACAAATCTATAGTTGACACTGGTTCACAAAGTCTGTCCCACATACTTGAGACGAGTGAACATCTTTCCCATCAGAAACATTTATTACCTACATACATACATATGTGACCTTTATGCAAGTTAGACTCAATACAACCAAGAGCAGATTATGACTAGGATTGTGCTTTCCTGTTAAATCACTTCCTCTCCTTGTTATTTAAGAAAATGGTATGATCCAGGCACTGGCATGGACCCGGGACATGATTTGAGTAGGTCTTCTTTAAACATTATTAATAGTCTTGGGTTCCTTTAAAAACTCAGTGAATCTATTGCCAAACCGTCAGACAGAGGACAGTGCTAACTGCCATGTGACTCTGTATGACTTAGCAGAGTTAATTCCTTTGTCATAGTCACTCAAACATCACAATCCTGTTCCTCAGTGATTTTCTGGTACTTTGCCCTGTGCCTGTTCTAATTTCCAAGACCAAACCTGGACAGTTTTTTTTATTAGCTTTTTATACCTTCACCTACTAGAAAGCTCACTGTTGGAATATTTTGTGTTGCACTGCCACTATTACCCAATCGACAAAGGACCCCTAGTTGTGTAAGTGAAAACAAACATGAAACTTATGGCTTAACAATTCACCACTTGAAAAATAAAACTTTCTAAACCCTTAAAAAGTTTTCATCCCTTCCAAAACATTTATGACATTGATCTACAGTTAAATATTTAAAAGTTTACCTTGTGTTTAAACTTCTCATTTGAAAATAACAAAATACGGTCACAGGACACGTGTACATTCTGTTCCAGTGTTGCAGAATTAGAACAGATGTTTAGTAAATGGACAACCAGTCAAAAATGTGAGAAAGCTAACAAAATCTGAAATAAAAACATACTGTGAGCAGATATTTATAATGTTTTGCCCACTAGTTTGATTCTGTTTCTCAGTCTGTGGTTTCCTCTTTAGGTTAAACTACAGATAGCACAGCAGATTCCTTGAATTTGTGTCATCATCCCTAAAAATGAGTCATGGACTGGAATTCTCCCAGATCATGGCATATGAGATGATTTGGTGTATATAGGGTGCAAAGTGAGGCTTCTCAGTGTTAACATACTGACTCTTTGCAATGGTCACAACTGTTAAGCACGTTTAGATTTTTCAAAGCTGGTCTTTCTGTGTCCATGCAAAAACATCCAGAGCAAATTATGGGTGAGAGCAAGGACGAGCAACTTCTACTCAAACATATGAAGTTATGAAGAAGTTTGCATGTTTAGGCAAACCGCAATTCACGATGACATCGAGATCTTGTAACCCCAACTGGGTTTGTTGAGAATTTTTAAAATTCCAAGATCCAGGTGATATCAAGCCTGCTGATTATGTTAAGACATTTGTGGCTGTTGCCAGGTGGTGATTAAAATTAAGCAAATCCAAAGATATAGTGCTTCCTTATCAGTCTTGTATTTTCTTTCACTGATGAATGTCTTCTTATGTCTTCATTTGCAGAGGGGCTTCTGACACTCAAACAGTAGTGGGTAGACCTGCTCCACAGCTGTGGCCACATTCTGCACATTTGGGCCTAAATCATTGGGGGGCAGGGGGGGCAGTTTGAGAGGGATAAGAACAAAAGAAAAGAGTTTTGAGTACAATAAAAAGAAAAATTGCGCTAAAAACACTTAAAAATAAGCAGAATTACAGGTCACAACAGAGGGAGATGTGTCAAAACATGAACAATTTCCTGGTTTGAGTCACGTTTATCCCAACTCATGCCATTACATACAAAGGTGGCATAATTTATTTAACTCTTGAGTAAATTTCTTGAGGAATTGGTTTATTTATGAACCAGTTTTCTGGTTATACACTGCCCGGCCAAATTAAAAGGTGCATTTGTACAATTGTATGCAATTCAATGCAAAAATTCAGCCTTAAGGTCTGTGTTCATGAAGCTTGAAACTTTTACGTTTTTGGTGAAATTGCCATAAATGTATGAATTCAATCATATGTTTATTATTGAGGTCATAGTTACAGATGGTGTTGTACTGGACTACATTATATTTAGAGGTGTTCCTAATATTCTGACCCTCTCATGTATGTAGCTGGGGAGGACAAGAATATAGGTAGCGTATAAAAGTGCATTATGACATTGTGACCTCAGCTGGAGCGCCCTCTAGAAGTATGTAAAAGGAGGGTGAGAGGTTAGTTTGTGTACCTGTAACTGTGACGCTGCCAGTAGAGAACACCTGTATAGTAGCCTTGAGAGTTTTGATCCTGTAGGTGGCAGCAGGATGCAGTTCTGGTTCATAACTGACAAACACACACAAACGCATGGCTAAGTTCATCTGTGATTTCTGCACACTAATCTAAAACCAATTACATACACAGCTAGAGAGAAGACTGTTTACAGGATGACATATACCAGTACTACACAGCATATAAACTAAACCAGAGGCTGGCTGCTGTCTGCCTGCTTTACAATAGAATGCTAACAAGCGCTCCAACCACTAGATGTCCTCCCTTATTAACAAATATTGAATCACAGAGTAAAAGAAACAAGGCTACTGACTTCATTGGACATGAGTACATGTGTTGAGGTGTCTCAGGTAAAACTGAATCATAATCAAAGACAACGTCAGGTAATTCTGTAGTTGTTTCCTTAGGGGATCACAATCTGTAACTTAAAGTAAGCATCATGAAACATGGGAGATGAAGGAGTGCCATCTGACAGGTGAGCTCTACAACAAGGGGCAAAATTAGTACAAAAAATCTGCTGATCACATAGGTGATTTTAATTAGTATGATGTCAAGGGCTGTAAGGTACAGTACTGTATTACCTGGCAATAGGTCGGTTGTTCTTAGTGAAGTCTATGAGGTGGACTGCAAAGGGCATGGAGCACACTGCCAGCACGTTCACAACTCGGAAGGCTGAAAACCTCACCTGAACAGATGAGACGCATAAAAAACAATGTATTTATACATACATTCATTTTAGCGACCAAGATTAAAGCAAAACTGTCTTCTACCAATCTTGCAATCTGTCAGATGTTATGCTAACATTTAGGTATTTTAACAAAATTCTGATGATAAAACAAAGTACATCCACCTGAAAATGACTGACAGACCACATGCTTAATCACAGGGTTTACCAAATAAATTGTTACAAATTAAGGTAAGTAAGACCCAGAGTTTTTAAGTTTAACTTGTAGTGAATGGTGATAATTCTGTTTTCTAAGACATTTTTCTGAATCTTATGACATCCATGTTTCTGTATGTTTCAGAGATAACAAGTAATGAACAGTTATGCCATTACGCTCACCTTGAAGCCTAGTTTCTGCAGACAGCGCGCTAACCTGCGAGCACCCAGCTTTGCCTCATCCTCACTGGACAAAAGAGAAGAACATGAGTGAGAGCCACCATAACAGATACGCAATGTGTGTGGCTTGGCATGCAAAAGAAATATAACACAGAAATAATAACCGGAAACCTTCAGAGTAACAGGGCTACAACAACCAAAGTCATCACTGTGTTAATTTGTGGTGGCCAGTTTGCCAAAAAAGATCACTACCAGCTCTAAAGTCAGCACTATGTATAACAGTTTAGAGAAATGCCACTTCATAATTGGCATGTAATGGGGAATCTCACTCAAACATTCAGCTAAAGCCAACATTACTGCACCAGCAATAAAAAGATAAGACAGCCAAGGCCATTAGCAACCAACAGTTCTCTAGATAGATAATTATCTTTTAACCAGTTAATTGTTACTGTACATTAACATTTTCTGAAGATTAAGTCTACCTTGTCGCTCCAGTGCAGATAATCTTCCCTGAGGACCAGATTGAGGCCGTTATCTTGGGTTTACGAAGCTTCATCAGGACTTTCTGAAAACAAAAAGGGTGGCCAAAATTTTAACCCTGGCAACACAACACACTTTTCATTCTTAAGATGAGCACAAACATTTGATAATGCAGCAAACTTTATAAATGTTTAAATATGTGAGATTTCTCTCCCTCTTTCCCAGACTTTGGATTTCTTACCCCTACTTCCGGCTTATAGATGACGTTAGTTCCTTCTAAGGCAATAGTGCGCAGGTTAAGGTGGCACCTAGTCCTGAAAGTTGCCACCACATTGGTGACAATGATATCAAGTGCCTCCTCATTGCTGGAATCCATAAGGAAGTGTGCAGTGCAGCAAGGGGACCACGGGCTTTCACACATTCATCATCATCACCACCACCATCATCATTACCACTGTTTCATGGACAATCATGGAGAGCAGACAAGCTGCAAGAAAACAAAAGCCCAAGGTTCATTTTGAGAGCTAGACATTATAAGTTTATGACTAATGATGAATTTTTAAAAAATTTTTGATTTAATATTTTCAGACATATTCAAAACATCTATGTAATTTAAGGACACATTCCAAAACTTTTGACAGATTATTTTCCAGAATGCTTTAGATTGTTAACAGCATATCCATCTTAATTTGTGGTTGTTTATCATAACTCATGTTAGCTCACCTTATCAGGTGCATCTGTACAATTGTATGCAACTCAAAGCAACACTATATTTATCAAGCTCAAAATGTTTAGGTTTTGGATGAAATTGTCATAAATGTATAAATTCAATTATATGTTTATTATTGAGGTGTTGTACTGGACTATATTATGCATCTATTGAGCTACATTATAATTAGTGATGTTACTAATATTCTGACCCTCTCATGGTTGTAGCTGGGGAGCACAAAAATACACCTCTAAATATAATGTAGTCTAATACAACACCACCTTTAACTATGATCTCAATAATAAGTATATGGTTGAATTTATACATCTATTACATTTTCACCAAAAACTGAAACATTCTGAGCTTCATAAACACGGATGTTAAGGCGGAAGTGTTGAACTGAATACCAGTCAATGTACCTATTATAGCGGCTCGTGAGTGTAGCTTGCACTCAAAGTGACTTAGTATGGTTCCCCTCGACTTAGGTCTGTGAGTGGGCCTTAAAACACGAAATCACACAGGTATCAGCAAGATTTTAGGGTGAGGTCGTGTTAAATATATTCCAAATGAATCATTTACCCCATCGTAATTCTCTATTTTAGCCACATATTAACGCTAGCTTGCCTGCTGATGATATAGCCTGATCCGTTAGCTAACGTTACTCTGTGTTGCTGCTACCAAGCAACATAATAGAAACGGATACGGTGGGAGCGACAACAGCTACAACCGATAACGCATTTATCACATAAACATTTGAAAACGCACAATAAAACTCGTCATCGCTTCATCGAAAATGTAAAGCTCTTTTACAGCTGATGCATTGCTCATCCCAGTTCTTGCATGCTAACGTAATACGCTGCTTTTGGGAAATGATTATTGCTAATCTTGCCATCTCAACAAGCCGGCTGTCAACTATTCATCACAAAAAGCATAACTGCATAAACTTACGTTAGTTAAACTGCTGTCGTGGCTAGAACTGTACAGACATAAACGCTTAAAACGAAGAATAACTGCACCCAGTACTGCCGAGCTAATGTATTATGAAGAAAGCTATCTGTTAGCTAGCAACAAAGAAAAGTGTACTGGTGTTGAATCCGGCAATAATGAATGAAACGTGGCTAGCTGCTCAACATTATAGCGAAGATGAGGTAACGTTAGTTCTACGGTTTGCAGATAGGTTTGCGTATAAATGGAAAATATGTATATTTGAAATATTTGCTTTTATTATTCCGCTAGGTTACCTCCTCAGATAGTTCATTGCTGTAATACGAATATATAAATAAGCCAGTCAACAACAACCTGTGTGGACATCGGAAAACCACTTCTTCTTCTTCTCTGAGGTTTTACGGCAGTTAGTATCCTTAGTGTTGCATTACCGCCACCTTCTGTTTGAGGTGCACGTCAACACCCTGTTACTCTATATTCAGATTATTAGTCCAGTTGTCCTTAAAGCTGCAAAGCTGCATTAACAGAGATTTAGCACATATTCGGATAAATCAAGTAAATAAAAAAATAAAAAAATCTAGGAGTGTTATCTCCCTTCTGTACTAATACCCCACCCCCCACTGCACTCTGCTGTCTTCAAGCCCTGTGTTTATTTCTTTCCCTCTGTGGCCACTGTTGTTCAAATCTACCCCTCTGATCCAAGGTTAAACCTCTTTATTTGATATTGTGTTGCTGCAATGCCACCATAAAGCACAGGCTCTTTGTGCTCTATATTCTGTATACATTAGTTCTGGAGCCAGTTATTACTGCCACACTACCTGATTGCCACTTTTGTGACCACATGTGATCTAGTTTTAGAGACAGGGCAGGAGTGGCAGGAGGGGCAAAGAGGAGTGGAGGGAGAAAAGGAGAGGATACTGCTTGAGTTTGTTTTGATTCTCACTTCACCCTTAACAGTTGAAAGTTAGAGGGAGAAGTTAGTTAATGCAGCTTTAAATAGTCAAACAGAAACCTTTCTCCCTGCTTCGACTGTGGTTCAATGGGTAGAGCAGTCAACTCCCAAATGTAGGGTTGGAGATTCAAATCTCGGTGCCTGCAGTCCACTTGTTGAAGTGTCCTTGGGTGAACCCCCAAGTTGCCCCCAATGGTTAGAGCCATCAGTCGAGTTGGCGCCGCATGGCTGCCTCGGTTCCTTGTGTGTAACGTACGTGGCCAAATAAAGATGATTATCCTTATATTCTAAGGTACTTTCCAAGCTAATTTCTGCTAGTCCTAATGTCTGTAGGTGTGTAATAATTTCTAACATTTCCTCTGCATATTTCCTACATGGTATCATGTTGTACAGAGTCTGCTTCCTGACATTGCATACAGTAACCTCCCTATAATGAATAATGTGCTGTTGAGATGAATCAGTCTACTAGTGTTACCTGTTGTTTTCTTGAACTGTCTCTGCTCCTGGTTGCTCACCATATTCTGTAATGAATGCAGATGGTCAGAGAAACCTATAGTAACCTCATACTACAAAATGTGCATATACTGTAGCTGTTGACAGAGATTTTTTAAACTGCAAAACAGAACCAGAACAAGACTACAGATGGAGTTCAGCACTGAAAGATTAACACATCAAGGGTCCATGTAATGATAATAATAATAGTAGTCTAAAATGAAAAAGAAAAGAAGAGTTAAAATGTTCACTGACTCCTTGCAAATACTGTCAACAAATTTGTCTTTGTAATGATCTTTGTCTGCCAATATTACACTTAACAGGCTTATGTTAACACCACTTCCAGACAACAATGTGTAACCTTTTTCATTGTTTATGGTTTATTCACATTTAAGATAGGTGGATGTGTAACATTTCCAGGGAAAATCAGCACATCTGGTCAGTAAATGCTTCACATGGAATTCTGGACAAGCTACAAAAGAGGAGTAAAGTTTGGAAGAGGTCAGAATGTTTGTGTTATCGATGAGAGAATTCACAGCCGCTTCTGATGCTCAGTCAATGGATGCTGTCCTGTGACATCCTACAATGCCTGTGACCTTTAGGCAAACTAATCATGGACATGTGAGTTTTCATTTTAGTCATAGTCATTTTCTTGAGATCATTTAACTTGATATACAGTATGTTGTGTAGTTTTGTATGAATGTTAAACTGATAGGAATGACAGATAGGCTTTAAAAGAGAACGTTTCTTAAACTCAGTTTGAATAGAACACAAATCTGCACACACATTTATATGTATTTGTTTATGTGCATTCATATCAGTGACTTATTGCTTGCTTATACACATTGTGTGTTGTAACCTAGAACTTTTAATCTGACAACTGCAAACACTTCTCCAGCCTGGTCTGCACCCAAACAAAACAGAAAAATAACTTCTTTATGATTCATCCTTGTTGTTATTGTTCTTCCTCCCTGGTTACAAAGTTGTCTCTTTCCTCCTTTTATTTAATCCTCCTGGGCTCCTGCTTGTGAAATATAGCCTTGTAATTCCCATCCATTCTGCACAAGAGCCTTGTTCAGATGTCCCAAGATGTTTACTATAAAGGTTTAGATTTAGAGCAGGTTAGGAAAGTCAGACCACTAGCAGTGATGGTGTGCATGTGTTCGTGTGTGTCATGAGATGGCTGACGCAAGACGCAAAAGTATGTTTACAGTTTGCTGGGCTGTACATCATTGGGGCAGTCTTTTCCCAGGGGAGCAATGCTCTTATTTTCATTAGGTCATATGATGCAGCATGTAAACACCCAGATGTGAGCACTTATGGCTTAATAGATGCAGATATGTCTAAGAGTAAATAGACAGTCATTGTAACCACTCCGTGTGTGTGCATGTGAGTCAAAGAGAGAGGGACTGAAGGAAAGTGAGAAAGAAATAATATTTTCATGCTTCTGAGAATAATTGTGTTTGTGTGTATTGATGTGTTTGTAAAGATAGATTTGATCTGAATTGGGGTTGACTGGCTAGCTTGACCCTTATATCTCTACTTATCAAACATGACAGAAATATTAATATAGTCAAACATTTGCTATTGATTGGAACAATATTATCAAGCTAACAAAAATAAAATTGAAACGTGTGCTTTGTTCAGAATGGATGATCTGGACATTTTGGTATTTTTTGACAGAAAACTGACAAGGTCATATAATTTTCTCCACGATCTCCAAAGAACTTTTTGAAACATCTTACAAAATGTTTGTCTGTCTTTGCTTTTCCTTGTTGTTTTCCTAAAACACTAATCATTTCTTTGCAGAGTTGTGCTGCAAGGATGGCCTCACTGTTGCCTTATAAACTGGGCATGTTTGTCAGGACCCCAGTGTTCTGTTTACATTGGGAACACATCACAGGCCCATTTTTAAAAGGAGTTAAAGCTTTTGAGAGTCTTTGCAGTAATGCTGTAAAACCGAGGTCAGGTTTGGTTTGCGAGATTTGTGAGAACCCTGTGTAAGATTGTTAAATTCACCCGCTTGATTTTCATCAGCTTTGACTGACAGGATGACAAGTCAGGTAGGATACAGCAACAAGGCTGGACATTATAAGAAAAAAGGCACTTAAAAGGGAGATGATGGAGGAAAACTAGGAAAAAATAAAACAACAAAAACGCTAAGGTGAGCCTCTGCAGTGTGTGTGTGTTAGTCACCCATTTGCACATACCTAAATTGATATGTGCATGGCAGCATTTCTGCCTAGATGTGCACAATAATGTATGTACTGTACATTATGTGTGTACATATGAAGAAGTTTTTCTCTATTAGACAGAGATGGATAATGTGTGAGATTGCCTTGCAGAGGAAGCCAGTCCTCTGGCAATGCTGCTCTGGGGTCTCCCAGTGTAAACAGAGACGTGGGAACAGCCAAGCCTGTTTATATCAGCCCCATTCTTACAGGGACCAGTCAGCAAGGCATTGAGGCACAGCCAGAACACCAGCTTCACGTGCATATACACCCACCAAAATTTATAGACGCCTAATCCCTTAAAATCACAGATTCAGCAGGGTTTGCTGCAATTAGTTATGTGCAGTTATGTTATCTAAATCTGACCCGGTGTCACAGTAGACCTCATTTTTTTGTTTGTTCTCTCTTACCTAAATGTTGAGGAGTTTAACATACAGAACCAATCAAGGCCAAAAAAACCTTTCTTTTTTACAAAGAAGCTAAATAGTCTCACCCTCTCATCACAGGGCCAGTGGGGAGGCCAAGCTCAGAGAGAGACAATCACTCCAGTGCACATCATGCCAGATTTACTGGCCTAACATGAACACACCTGCACAGTTATTATTCAATTCCCTGTCTAAGCTATGTTTAGACTAGTTCAGAGAAAAAAATGACACTGCAATGAAAGTTATCTGGTTCAGTTTGAATCTGCAGAGAAATCACCTGCGACTTGCAGAAGAAGAAAAGTGAAATAAAGCTAAGAAAGCTGGGTCAGGATGGTAAAATTACAGCCTAGGTGTATTTAAGGAGCAGAGCACTTGGTCACTTGCTCTTACTAGTTTTTGTTTGTCGGATGGTTTGTTTTTTTAGGCACATGCAAAGGCTAGTGCCAAGTAACCATAAAAAACATCCAAAACTTGTCATACAAAATCAATACTTAAATCTTGCTCTACTTCAAAGCAACAGCAAAAAAGCATGCTTTCATAATTTTTGATATATAAATCTGGGAAAGATGCATCATTTAGGAGTGTTATATTGAATATATTTCTTATCCATTTGAAGATCTATACACAAAAGGTTTGTCTTAAGAGTTTTATCGGTGTAGCATGCAACACTCTCGATCCTTGCACCACGAACAAATGAAAAGAATGAATGCACAACAGAAAGCCTCACAAAGATGAACAGCTGCTTCTTCTTCGTCAGAGTCTTCTGGAATGGGCAGATATGATATACATCTTGAGGATGTGAGA